CACACACACACACACACACACACACACACACACACACACACACACACACACACACACACACACACACACACACACACACACGGTGAATGTGAGTTGTTTGGCTTTCTTGTCCGCAGCAGCAGAAAGCATTTTCGAATGTATCAAAGTGGGTCGTCACCGTCGATTTTCTCTTATGCTCCAACACACAGTTGCACGGGGTGCAGAATAGTTTCCCCCCCACTTTTTGCCCGGTCTTTAGTNGTCGGTAAATGAGATGAATTAGATTTTTTCATCTTGGTGTTTTCTCTATCGTGTGAGCTCCACACGTTCACTCTATACAGTGTTGTTTACATTCTGTGATGCGCGAGCTGATGACGTCACGTAAAGACGAGTTAACTTTTCCCCCCCTCAACTTTGTGTGGAAAAATGCGGGGATTATGCGGCATTTTGATAAATATGCGGCCTTTTGCTGATTATGCGGTAAATTCTGCGATCGCAGAATCGCATTTTTCTGGAGGGTCTATAAACCACACTATAAAAACACCATTCAATAAAACAATTGCAGTGATCAGTTTCACTGTCATCACTTAATCTGAAAGAAAACTGAAGATTCAAGGTTTTCATTGAATAGCAGTTTTGCAATACGAGTCATGTTTTAATCTAGAAGAATTTCATGACTTTATTTAATTACTTCTATATCATGGTTAGATGGCTATCCTATGCATTTTAAGGAGTTGGATCACCCTCATATCAGCAGATACTCAAGGTAGTAAAAACACAGAAACTGAATCCAAACCATCTCTACGTGGTTTATTAATTGGCCTGATCTTTTCTTACATTGATAACACTTGGAATGAAGAGACCATTAACCCTCGGGAACAACATATATATATTGAACGTTCACTGACTGCATTCGCCAAGGCATTTTCCTTTATACCCTCTCAACTAAGGGACAACCCGATCACAAGCGCAATGATATTGATCTCACTATCATTAAATGGAAAACTGAAAGACAGGTAGGCAAGTTAAAGACTTTATGTGTGCATTTCCTTAGTGTACTCACCATCACCGTCCAGGTCATCGGTCTCATCGGCCCAGCTAGTGGACTTTACTGGGTAGCTAGGGGGAGCGTTGCTACTGGTTCCCTTGTCGTCAGCCAGGAAGTCAGTCAGGGTGAGGGTCTTCCCCTTCTTATTCTTCTTCTTAGCTAGAGGGGAAATAAACACAGTGGACAGAGTAAGAGATGTGCCAGGACATAGTTTAGTTGTCCAAATGGAGGTCTTTAAAGCCCCCTGGGAAGGGTAATTCAAAATTGGCTGTTAATTGTGTAATATGGGATCTGATTGTATAGGTTATATACCTAAAAAGTATGAAGCCATTGGCATAGCTATGTCGTTTTAAATACATCACTTCAATTCACTGATCAAAACCTTTGCATAGAAAAGCGAATGCTAAATGTTCTACGATCCAAGTAATTGGACAAAGCATTAATAATAGTCAAGCTTTTTTATCAAGTGGGGTCAATTTGATGGATTTTGTAATTTATTCTACAGCAGCAAAATGTTTTAGTGATCGAAAATTAACTAATTAGATTGTTTGATCAGCCAAATAAGATGTTATAAAACAAGGTTCCCCATTAGTTACATGCTTATTTAAATATATCAGACTATTGGGGATGATTAATTACACATTCAACCTTGCTACTGTGTATACATTTTTACCATTCCAAGCTACATAGGCTTTAAAATGTTAAAAACACAACCCATTGTTTCGTTTTTTTTATATTTACATTATTCAAACAATGACGTCAGATTGCTTTTACGGCATGTAATAGATTACAATTCTTTTTTTTAACAACTCAGGGAAATATTACAAAATATAGTGAGTAAAGCAGTGAAATGCTGCACAACGGAGAGATTCATTCTTTAAGCATCAACACAACAACAGTCTGGGGTTTTGTGTGTTTTTCGCTTGTGGACAGCTGCATTGCCGAGAAGACAAACAGTATATATAGTGTGATATGTTGTCAACATCCCAGCCTGCAGTGATAGGACTGCAGTGTCTGAGTGATAACAAAAAGATCCCGGGCACTATTTCAAGTCCAATAGGTCAGAAAAAGGTTTTGCCTTCATTTGTTCATCCCCAATAATGCAATGCAAGGTGCAATACTTGTAACGTGTTCAAACCACTAGACTGCATGTCTGCTGCTTTATTTAGGGAATATACATTGGAGATCGAATGAAGGGTTCACATATCCATTTCAAAACATTCCTGCAAGTGTACATTTTAAAAAGGCAAACATTGCCAGTTACACATAGGGGCTTCACAGCTCATAGAGCAGGTCTGGTCTGTTTTGGTGCGAGGCAAAAAAGGGGAGCCACATCGTTGGTTATCAGCTTAATTGTGAAAATCCCAGTTGTCAGGACATTCTTTTCATACATCGTTACAAAACCTGCACACATGCAGAGCAACAGAGACTGTAACTGTAAACTCTTTCCCAGTGCACAATGCTAAGTCATTGTTTACAAGCAACAGGCCTTAAGGGCGTCGAGTCCTTATTCTTTATAAAACAGTCAAATTATTCTGACTGCCTAATAGCTTTCTTAGCGCACCGCACTCATGTAGCAAGCTAGTAGCTGCGCAACGTTAACTTTTGGCAGTACAGCTAAAGCTACAATAACATAAACACAACCCAAGTGTTTCTGCACAGGTTGTTTGTTTGCGAGTATGCAGATTGCTTTTGTCTTTATGCCTATGCGGGCTTAGTCAGCAAAGGAGTGCTGACGGGGGAAGAGTCTCTGCTTAGCAGGCTAGGTTTTAGGGCCTAGCACACGTCGCAGCGCAGAATCCAAGTGCGCCATCATTGGAGCAGGACTAAACCCACCGGATGGGACGGCTTGAAGTTATGAAGCTGCAAGTGAAGTGTTTATCAAGCGACCCAACAGGCCCAGCTGCCTCGTTTCATCAAACACCGATACCCGGGCGCCAGGCTGCACACGTGGGGCGCCTCAGCCCGGACTGGTCGGCCCAACCCCTCCTCCCCGAAACGCGCTTGCGCCCGATGATTATCTGCTCTGAGCGCCACGGCGAGCTCCGCCACGGGCATACAATGTGCGAGCTGTGTGCACGCAGTTTAGCAACATTTCACAACATGTCCCACACCGTCTAATGCATGTATTACTGTGAAGCCCCGATAAGCTGAAAACACTAACACCACTCTAACGTTTTTCATAGGAAAAGACCGCATGTAACCTGTAGGTTAAAATGCTCAGCTTGTGCAAGTCGTAGCTTCGTTCATTCGCCTTCTTCAAGCAGCAAGGTCTTTACTGGGCCAAAAACAACCAACGAACCGATTTATACACGCGGGACAACGACGCCAATCAATTACGATACATTAACAATACTATAACTTAATATTTGTAATAATTTTTGCTGTAAATACCGCTTAAAATCCCTCCAACCGACCCAGATCTTTCAACCTCATAAACCTCACCTGACGCCGCCATGTTGGAGAACGAGTTCGTAGTAGTTCCCGGATGAAGGCGTCAGAGGTTTATTGTCGGGAGCGCGCATCGCCGTTCACGGGCATGTCTCCTCCCTTGTTTGCCTATCCAAACTTAAAAGATGTTTAAAGAGGACTTGGCGTACTTCTATTTAACCACATCTGCTCATGTACATTGGACTTTGATATCCTTGTAACTGAACTAACGTTACATTTTCTCTAAATCCTTCGACCAAAGATTTCTATGCAGCTTTAGAAAGTGTATTGTCCAAGGAAAGAAATGAACCCGCTTGTTTTAATAACTCTCAATGTAGCCTATAGCCTAACTGCAAATAAATAGACATTACAGCAAATGAAAAAGACCAGGCAAATAAATATAACTAACAGGCAGAACTGGCTCCCTACACTAGTTTGTGAAAGTATGTGTAATTTTATGTTTTAAAAAAGCATTTGAACCAACAACACATTTCAAATAAAAAGTCCATATGGAAAGAGAATTATTTTCGAACAGTGCCAGGAATAAACCCCCATACTGCTCCATTTCCATTCCATAAATTAAATAGTGCAGTTTTTTGTAATGTAGCATTTCTGGAAACTAGTAAAAGGGATCAAATTAAAGAGTTGAACATATACAATTCTTCCTATAAATGAAGTGTAAAAAAGCATTAATAATGAACTCAAGTAGGCTATATGTTCCTGAACATTTGAGTAATGCTTAAGTTGATTTCAACAGATTTTTTAATATGTCGAGTTATCAAATATATCCAGGTTTTCACTGTATTTTGAAATGCATTCTTCATATTATAAACCTACTGCAAACGTAAGGACTTGATTCAAACCATATATATGTTGATTTTGTCGCTGTGGAGTCACCCATTGGTTTGGGGAATTCCATTTTGAAGCCTGGAGAATCAAGATTCAATCTTTCCGACTACACATTTCACTACACGACGCTCCCCATAAAATCTGTTCCTAACCCAACCCATTTCTGTTTCCGCAGTTCTGGCTACTTGTCAAGTTCGGAATTTTCAAGAAGATCTATTTTTTCTGTTGCCATCTTTTTTGCTAAAGGCTTTTGCATGAAGTTGCCGCTTGATTGATGCAAAACCAGATCTGAAATTCCAGTCAGATCTTTTGAGCCTACATTTTTCATTCAATCAAGAAGTTGTCTCTAATCGAAAGATATTATTGCACTCTGTTGGTTAGCACTTTAAAACCAAACAGATGTATGAGGTTTGTCTCCTGGTTTGTCTTACATTTTTCCGAGGGGCCAAACCTCAATTTCAGCAGCTTTAAGCATCCTGAATGGGTGTATGGAGGAGTAAGCAAAAAACAGAACTAGCATTGATTTTCATAATTAAGTCAGAATATATCTTGTAATATGTCAGCGATTCGTTTTTTGGGGTGTAGAATGAAATGAAATTACATCATTATTTGTCAATTACAATTATGGAATTCTGTTGGACTTTGTTTTCAAGGGTTCTGATAGCGCATTTAATAAATCAATATGACAACAACATAAAACAAGCACAATCTTACATCATCAAACAAAAACACATGCACAAGAGTCATGACTGTGGGTCAACAAGTGGTTTTATTCATTTTCATTTTGCTTTAGGTCAGGCACTAGTTGTTTTTTAAAAAGCCCCGCCTTGTATTGAATGCCTTCATTGGTAATTGCCTAAATCATTTATTGTTCACATGGAATGTAGTCTGTGTTCAAATTAGACTTTGTTTGTTTGGACCAGCGTGTTTTTTTCCCATCATTGATAGTTGAGGGTTGTTCTGCTTTAATTGTTGGGCTGGTCCCGGATTCTTGGTTCCAAATTAGTTCAGCGCCGCCAGCTCATCTATTGCATCCTGGAGCCTGTACAAGACACAGAAGACACATTTGACTTTCAAAGTATTTATGTCGTAATGCTTTCTCAAACTGACTCGGATCCTGCCTCATTCCAGTAACTATAGTACCATGCAAACCAGGATAAGTACTTTTAGTATTCACCTCCACCACCATCAACACCTTGCTTGGATCTGATTTTTCTCCTCCACCTAACTCTCTTACTTGAAGTCTCCACCATCCAGCAGACTCCTGTAAGTGCCAATCTCGGCCTCCAATTTCATCTTCATGCTGAGCAGCGTCTCATACTCTTGGGTCTGATTCTGGATGTTTGCACGCAGGTGGGTCAGCTCCTCCTCCAGACGGATAAGAAGGTTGTTGTACTTCTCCATTTCCATATTGTTTCTTTGCTCTGTATTACGTAATGTGTCTTCAAGGGATGCTCTCTGATGAAGGATTTGAAGAGGAGGAGTTAAAAGTGTGCCAAATATGTTGGTAAGCCAAAACATAGAAATCTTATGTTATGCATCATGTTTTTAAAATAAATAAAAGTCTCAAATATTGCAACAAGAAAAGATAATCTTATGAGAGGTTTTAATTATGTTATGCTTGTGAATAAAATTAAGATGAACAAGAACAGAATATAAAAACATGCATGCTTACTAAGCTCTGTTGGGATGCAAGTTCAATTTCCAGGGTCTGTATCTGTCTGGATAAGTCGCCCCTCTCCATTTGGGCTCCCTGGAGAGCTTCTGTGTTCTGCGATACCTCCACCTGCACATCTGAAATCTGAAAGGGGGAAAGGGAAAAGGTGTTTGCCAACTAACAAGATAGTTTCTGTAAGTATATTTGGTCAAATTTCCCTTTTGCTTAACATTACCTGATTTTCATGCCACTGTTTGAGGTCTTGCGCATTCTTCACTGCAAGCTTCTCATAATTGCTCCTCACATCTTGCATTATCTGAGCCAGGTCCTGACCTTTAGGAGCGTCAACATCCACTTGCACTGCTGAATTTGAGATCTGATTCCTTATCTCCATCACCTCCTATTAGACAGACAGAAAGAGAACATTTCACAAAAACATTACAGACTTGTGACGGACGCTTCCAAACTGTGGTGGTTAATCTCGATGAAGTATGAACTCACCTCCTCATGGTTCTTCTTCAGGAAGGCAAGCTCATCCCTAACATTTTCAATCTCGCTCTCGATGTTCATTCTGGTCATGTTAGTGTCATCTATGACTCTCTTCAGCCCAGCGATGTCGGCCTCCACAGACTGGCGGATTGCCATCTCATTGTCAAATCTGTTGGAGTGCAAAGACACAAACTCTGTTATTATTTTTAAAAGCATCCTGTGGACCGGTGTTGTAATTGAGCGTTTTGCTACTTGCACTCAGAACAGTGCATCTGATCATATGCATAAATTCATATGCTACAAAGATAAAACCAAGCAACACTAAGTGATAAGCTGTTATTCAAGTTTTGCTGTGATGTATAAAGGTACGTAACCTCAATATGGATTAAGTGTTTCAAACACAAATCTGCTCTCTGCTGAAATCATATTCTAAAGATAATTTAGATTTTAAGTCTCATGCACAGTACAAAAAACAAATACATTTAAATTCTTCTTTGTATTCAACATACTTCACTTTGAAGTCGTCAGCAGCAAGACGGGCATTGTCGATCTGGAGTACATAACGAGCATTGTCCAAAATCTCTTCGAAGATCTGGAAAGAAAAAACGATTGAACACAAAAGAAGTGTTTTAGCTGGCTAGAACGAACACAATTGTTCAACAAGAAGCCTTTTCATTCAATATTCAAATCATTATGACATAGTGAAGTATAACATAGCCTAAGAAAAGAACATATGATTTGAATCTCTAGTTCCCTTATTTAACAAAAGAGGCCCCAGATTCAGATTACACACCAGGGCCACAACATTACTGAATCCATGTTACAGTCAGTAAAAAGAGGAACCACAAACTGAAGTACAGGAGAATACAATGATCCTGTGCCAAAACTAAATCTGGTTTGTTTTAGCATTGTTGGAGAATGAATTGATTTCCTGTCTGACTAACTCACACAGGGAGTTTTTTTTCTCTCCAATTCTCACACAGCTGCACTATCTCTGTCCGTCATTTTCTGTGCATATACAACTGTATGTGTTTATGTATTCAAATACTGCAACATTCTTTGGTGCGTATGTGTGTTTGTGAGTTTATACTCTTATGTGTCCATGGCAAACTGCCTAAAGTCAAAAGGGGGGAAACTTTGCGACTTCATGTGTTGAGAGAGACAAAGTGGGACCATCAGTGTGACACATTGAAGATCTGTAGACTGTAGAAGAATGTGACATTTGACTCTGCAGACTGGAGCTGATTGTTATACAACTAGTGCACTCAAACGCATCTCTGTGGACACACACACAGATACACACTCATTCACGCTGGCAGCCCCAGATCCTTTGTGTGTGTGTCATTACCACACATCTGTTTCACATTGAGGCCCTCGTATACCAGAGTATGCGTGTAGAATCTCAATTTGCAAGCAGGACCATTTGGAAATGCTTTGGTCTGGTTTAGGTTTGTTCTCTTCAAGACATCTCTCATGATGCTGACCTCGTGGTGATGATTCATCAGGGGAAGTTCTGGACATTTTGTGGCATAAACTAGATTTACGGGGGAGGGTTGGAGTTGAGCAACCACACCCTTCATTCTCTAACCAGAAATGTGATAACCCACAAAGGAAATGCTGGCCGTCTCAGCACCAGTGTTCTCGAGGCATGAAATACATTGATAAAACGTACTGACACAGGTAGATCGTTAATCGATACATTTATTGTGCGTGACGATGAGTGCGAAAGCATTTGTTAAGTATTTAAACACTCTTATCCATCATTGTCCGTTTCACCTTTCTGTATCAAAGACAACTTCCTAGTTTTCAACATTTTACACCAAACTTCCCCTTTTTTAATTTTCATAATCATTATTTATTGTTATGCTTACCTTTCTGCGTAGGTCTTCAATGATGGGTTCATACTTGCTGTAGTCTTTCATGCTGGGCCCTCCCTTCTCAAGAGCCTCCATGATCTTCACCTCCAGCTCCTTGTTGGCCTGTTCCAGGTTCCTCACCGTCTCTAGGTAGTTGGCCAGGCGGTCATTGAGGTTCTGCATGGCTCCCTTCTCATTGCCCATGATGCCAGAACCGGCACCACCACCAGACGCTGTGGAAGAACCGGCACCACCAAAACCTGAGCCCATACCACCCCCCATTGCACTGCTCAGCTTGAAGGCAGAGGAAGAAGAGGTCATTGGGGCCCCAGACCGCAGGGAAGATGTGGAGGATGAAGATATGCGGGCCCCCTTCCCACCAGCACCGCCATAAATGCTGGCAGAATACTGGGGTGTAGAGCGGCTCATGGAGATGTGGGATGAAGACATCGGCTGCATGTTGGATCTTCTGTAGCTCATTTTGAGAAGTTTAGGCACCACAGACAATGAAGTGAAAAATGAGATGTGGAGCTGCTGGTCGGCTTAGAAAGTGAGTCTGGCAGCGGAGAGTTGGGAACTTATACTCCTGCTTCTCTCCTTCAATCACAGCTGGTCTTTCAGACCCTGCCCATTTCAACATGGCCCAGTCTTCTCTTCCTGCTCCCCCTCCCTCCTCTCTCGTGCTCTCATTCACCCACATGTTCCCTTTTTTTTAACCGACAATGTTTTCCGTCTCCAAGGAAATGTGTGAGGAATTTGTCCGTTGTGAAAAACATTCAGATTTAAGCAGCAAATGTGTTACCCAACTATCAAGATTACATATAAAACAGTTCACAAGAAATGAAAGGAAGCTGTTCTAGACATTATGTCGAAGGTAAAGTGGAATAGAATCAAAAATAAAAGTTTTAGGTCTACTCTGTAAGCACACCCCCAAATTCCTTTGGTTTGCCCATAAAAGGCACAATGCCTACCAGTTTCTGCATGGTTTCAAAGTTTGAGGTCAGCCATGCCCCAAAATAAGCACATTTCGACCTTCCTATCTAGACTGAACTGAAAGTAAGATAGCAGCTGCAGTATTGCTTCTTTTAGTTGTAGCTACAAAAGATGGGGAGGGGGATGTATAAACTTTATGTATAAAACTACGAAATCTGAGATTATAGCTACTTTGAGGTCATCAGCATCCATAGTGCCATATTTCTTTACTTTTTTATACACTGAAAAAGGGCAAGATTAACCAGTGGCATTTAATTGTTTATTAGAACAATCAGGAAGCCCTTACCAATCTGTAAGTTGACATTAAAATCACATTTCAACAGACAATAGGGGGGACATTATTATCATCGAATATTCCATACTGTAAAAGGAAACATATGGACACACAAGCTTCAAACACGCCCAGAAGACCTAAGAAGGGGGGGATAAGCCTAAAGAACGAAAGTAAGCCGATAGCACATTGTTCAGAATGCAATAAGAAAGAAAGAAAGGCTGCCCTCATTCACCTTTCAGAGGCGATTATCTGTTCAAATCAGCTCTGATGAGGATTTTGAACAATATACTTTGAAGCCTTATCTGGTAAGGTGTGTAAACTGTATACGTTTGATATCTCAGTATGAACAGCTCTCTTTTGTCACTAATCCTTTCTGACACCAGGAAAACAAAAATTAAATCTCAAAGCCTGTGTTCCTCTTCTAAACAGTACACTGTTCATTTTACTTCTCATAAATAACAATTATGTGAGTTTTATTGTGCATTTTAGTGACTAAATGCCATAGTGCCTATGGGAACTAGAATACAATATGCAGGAAACTGCAAAACACTATTCAACAAAAAAGAAGGAAAGAAACTGGATGATTTTCCTAAAAAACAAAGCTGTAACAAAAAATGTTCTTGGAAGACCATGGCAAAGTGTATGCCAGTTTAACTTGGGCTAAAGTTGTGGTCAGAGAGGATTTTCTCGCTAGGCCCCAGAGAACATGGATAACAAAACCAACGAACCACCCCAGGGGAAACTTGCAGAGGCTCAAACACCCTCCTGAGCCTCATACAACCCAGTTCTTTTCTTTCCTGTTGTTACTTCACATTCATGGTTGATCAAGTTTCAGTGTTTCTCACACTTTACAGCAGCCCCTCACTGTTCTTTTCTTAAAGCAGCACTCAATAAAAGGGAAAAAAAATAGGGAGTTAAAGCAACAAAAAAGCAAAGGAGTCAAATGACTCTAAACTGAGACCAGGGGAGAGGCATAAAGAGGAACCATGAATTAAATCAGCATGACTCATAACTCATGACTAGCGTCGCCGCTGTCCTGTTTGTTTGAATCTGTGTTGGCAACGAAGTTGCCTTGCCCACCAGGACAGAAAAAAAGAAAGAAATTAGAAACAGGGATGTACCTTGACCGACAGTTTTAATGAACTTAGCTAGTATATTGGATACATGTGGCACATTTCCCTGCACATACTTCATCTCATCATTAAGAAGTAAATGTGAATGCAAAATGTAATTACTTTAGAATGACACCACTGGCGTTTACATTGGTTCACTGTTAGCCCTGCTTCATAATTATATTCATGTCTCTCCCTCACAATGAAAGTCATTGACATACACGGCATCTGTGCTTCTCCAGAGAGCTAACAGGCAAGTCAACAGAATAGCTTACAGTAGCCATCCCCAGGAAGCAGAACAACCGGGATAATCTTCACTGAGAAAAGTCCACCCAGAAGATTGAGAGTGATAAAAACAATTTTTTCGACTTAGCTGTTTGCTCTGCCTCATAGCTAAAACATAATAATATGTAGTTCTTTGTGATTCATGCGACAGGCATGTTGGAAAATATATAAACAATATATCAGTAGACGAATACTTGTGCACACCAAGTCTCCACATAAATCTTTATATCGTTTTTTGTTTATGACTAATTATTCCTTAGAATAGATTTTCCACATGCAAGAATCTGATATGGATTGCACCCCTCTTTCCCCGATAAGTTGGGAAAAGAGCAGCGGAAAAGAGTTGGAGTCTATGAATCATTGTAACACAGCAGGAACCTGGAAACTACAACTTCAGTTTATGGGCTTCACAATACTTGGAAAAATCTCAGACTTTGACTCAGCTTAGAGCAGCCGCGAATTAACTTTACTCCCCTCCCTTTTTCTTTGGTCTCCTTTGGCACAACTGCAGTGCAACATGTGAGCTCTAACATGCTTATATACAAAGTCAAAAACATACATTTGCATATATGCATATGCATATTTATGCATATGATTATGGACACCCTTACAGCTGCATGGGATGCATGCATGTGAGTGTGACACACTCTTTCACAGAGATTTTCTTACATCATCCCTTTTTATCTTGATCACTCACTTGACTGGCACCAACATGTTTAATAGGCATCAAATAGGCAGTTTGTTTATCTTGTTAATGTATAACTTTATTGCAGTTTTATGGCCAGAATTGTCATGAAAGTGTAGGGGTCACACATCAGAGGTTAGTGAAATGTGTCGACTAAGAGACATTTTCTCCATTGTATGTCATGTCCATTTCTAGCGCAAAGACATTTCACAGGAAGGCCTAAAAGGTGCAGTGAGTAAGAAATGCTACATTGGAAAGTCACCTATAGCTGACTACATTTCTCACATGGGCACAGTTTAATCTAAGGAAATAAAACTGTTTATTAAATGATTTACTTTATTACTTTGAGGTAACATAGGCATGCTAACATGCTCGGAATGACAAAGCTAACAGGCTGATGCTAAGGAGTAAAGATGTACAGAGACGTCATTGTCCTATATGTCTCTGAAATGTCATTAGATTAGAAGACCAGAAGTGGGCAGTTTCTGATTCAGGTAGTTTTCTAAAATCGAGCACATTTTGTATTTTCCAATTGTTATTCAATATAATTTGTGTGACTACAAAGCATTACATTGATGTATTATTGGCATATAATTAATAATGAAGTATCTACAAATTAATATATTTCACTTTTCATCACATGTTGGTCCCCCCAACAATGACTGGGTATCAATGGCCAATTAGGCTGAATCTTCCATGAAACCTATGTCTGATCCATACAGAATGTCATATCTTAAATGCAAAAATATTGAATTAAATACCAGAGAAAACATTTTTCAAAAATTGTTTTTAAATAACTGTAACAAACTTACAGAAATCCATCCAATAGTTGTCCAAATATGACACTCATCACAAATGTCAATCTCACGGAGTCCCTACAAGAAACAATGACCGGTCAACACAATCATTAAATGGTAGTCATCCATGAGACTAGGAATGTTTGGAACTCATTTCCTGGCAAGCCCCATATAGTTGCAGAGACATTTCCATCTGGACCATTTGGTGGACAAAGTGGAGAGTCATACCCCTAGTGTGGGTGACAAAGCAACTTCCTATAGACTGGATCAAGTTTCATGCAGCAGATAAGATCATAGTCAATGAGATACAGTGATGACAACATGTGACCACATCATGCCACTCCTCCTGTGAAATTTCTTTGGCTGAAAACACTTTCATCCTACAGTCGCTAGGGGGCATGAGTCTCAAAGGGAACGCAGCCACTGTAATATGAGAAGGGTGATGAGGTCTAAGAAACTGCATGTTCTGTACTTTTCTGTCTGGCTTGTTTCTTTGAGTACATGTGTGCTCCCATTGTTTAAAACCATGCACCATGCCTTGGTGTAGTGTTTTTTCATGTCTGTGTAGGAGGCTCCTTGTTTGAACAGGCATTACAGGGCAAGGCAGGCTGTTAGTTTTAAAGCTGATTATACTGATCAATCGAAGGCTGGGCAGGGTCCTTCAGACCACTGCAAAGTCCAACTTTAAGACCACAACATAAAGACAGGCAGTATGTTTATCCTCCTTTTATTAGTTTTCTGCATTTCCCTTCTCTATTTCTACAACTTTTCAATTAAAGGGGCCCTATTATGCTAATTTCCAGGTTCATATTTGTATGTTGTGCCTCTTCTGTGCCATGTTTACATGCTTTAATGTTAAAATATGCTTTGTTTTTCTCCTCCTGCCTGTGCTGCAGCACCTTTTTCCACCCTCTTTCCGAAACCAGAGCCCAGTCTGCTCTGATTGATTAGCTGGCCGACTCTGTTGTCGTTGGTCAAGTGCTTCGAGATGTCCTGCCCCTTAGCCTATCTCGTATACTATGTTGGAGCGCTAGCCAATAGAACAGCGAGTGTGAAATTACTATGTTACAGAAGTAAACAAAGGACTACATTCGAGGCGTTTCAGGCAGGGGGGAGTGTGGGAGAAAAACTCCCTCTGGTGTGAACTTTGGGATTTTAGCCTTTGCAGAACTTTTACATGCACAAAGCCTATACAACACACTACGGGAAGTTACATTCTCTATGTCTCTTGTTGTTTATAAAGCACTGCATGCATTATTTGTTTATCATATATTACATGATGTAAAGATAAATGTTGAAGCAATGCCACCACATTAGCTAAAGCCTTTAGCCTGCTTAAAATAACCATCTTGGATACAATCCAATTCCCACTGAATGTGTCAGTAAATCTGTTATTCATTGTTTAATAGGTTTTTTCATAACCCTCCACTTGCTCATCTCTT